AGTCTGGGGAGATCCAAGTTCTGCCCTTATTTCCTCTATCTTCTTGCAAAGGAGGCTCAGATAAAAAACAGATTTGCTTTGTTTTTAAGAGACAAAGCTATTGAGTCAAATGTTCCAGTTGCTGATTTACATAGCCATACGTGTATATGTCTTTTCTGCATTTGATTAACATGCAAAAGCAAAGAAACTTTTGTTTCTGGCTCCTGTTCCTTTCTTTTGCTTTGAGTAGTCGAACTGATCCAGTTGAATTAATAGGAATTGCCTGCCCCAAGGCAGTGCCAAAGGCCACTGAATGCTATCTCCCCATCTGTGAGCTGTGCTATGCTGTGCAGCTCCGAGGCTGTTTCCTGCCCTGTAGAATAGGGACTAGATGAGGTGATATGTACAAAGTGCTCAGCCTGGGGCCTGACACATCACAAGCACAGGCAGGGACAGCCGTCAGGCTATTGGGATTTGAGAAATGAACAAGACTGTTTACCTAGGTCACATTTTGTTTGTGGCTGAAGACAATGAGATGATCAGAGACGAAGCACTGAGTCCTGGCGGATTAGCACGCTGTCCACCGCCATTGCTCTCTGAAGAGCCCGCAGTTCCTACAGAGCTCAGGACTACACCAAAAGTCTTGGCTTTGAAAGCTATCAGCCCAGGCATCATTACCAATGAGCCCCATTCTTCAGTTTTCCCTATGGACAGGCTGCCTCTAGCAGCTCCATCTTGAAAATTCAACTGGAGGGGAGAGGGATGGATTCCGTGGGTAAGCAGTTTGTTGGGGGTGGCTTCGCCTGCTGTTACAGGTTTTGAGCCTGGATCCAGCTGGGGTGGGTGGCAACAGCAGGTCTGGTCTTAACATGGTTGGGGGAAGATAGCCCTTCCTCCGCCCAACCGCCCCACCTCTTCACAGCTGCCAAGGCCAAAGAGAAGAGAGGGTGGGAGTGGGAATGGTTTTCTTATGGTTGTTTTTGAGAAGCAGCTCGTTTTGTTCCTTGAGATTATTCCAAGAAAGGCTTAAGCTCTGAAAATGAAAAGAACCCAAAGAACTTGTTTCTGATTTTAGTTGAGGAATGAGATGTCAGGGAGAACTTTAGACCTGGAAAAGATGAAAAGAGTGCGTTGGCCACAACCACACCTGCTCCTTGCGTGTTTCCATAGACAGTGGGCATCTGGAGCACCTAGGAAATGAGCATTGCCTTGGGAAACTTGACTAGGGGCATCCTCTATAAAACAAAGCTAGGGTTTCTAGAATTAACCCTAGGGCAAACCTGGACCATGATCACAGAAGCCTCACATTTAGGAGAACTGAAGACAGTGGAGGGGAAAGAGCGGGACTGAATCACCATGACCGTGTGAGACCTTGATCATCTCACATCCTTGAAGAAAAAGACAGAGAAAGCAATGATGTCCTCAAACAAAAGATAAAAGTGACTTTCCAGGAGCCAGAGGGCCAAGGCAAAGGAGAAGCGCCCTTTTGACCAGGGCCTAATGGAGTCCAGAACCTCGCTGCGATTCCTCCAGTTCCCTACAGAGAACTACTTTGGGGCAGTGAGGGTGAATCACTGAACACATTGAACTGAACCATGGGAAGGTGTCGCTGTTCCTTTTTGCCTAGAAAAACAACTATTTCACATCAACTTACTATTTATTTTAAAACAGCCCTTATGATAACTAGTATTAACTGAGCAACTACACTGTGCCAGAAGCTTTACGCATACCATTCTTCCCAACAAGCCATAAATGTTGACACCATCATCCTGATTCTTCTAATGAAGGGGCTTAGATGGGAAAAGATGATGTCACTGTAAGAGAAAACATCATCGTCTTCTGGACTGCATTTATTCATTCTGCAAGGTAGGGCTGCAGGTACTAGCTAGGTTCTGCAATACAAAGGTCTGACTTCCTCATCCCCCAGAGACTGCAGATTGCTCATGACTAGTGTGAAAATCCAAAATGCTCTGGAGTCCAAAACTTTGGAAGAGCTGAGGTAACACCCCCAAGTGGAAAATTCCATATCTGACCTCATGTGACAGGTTGCAGTCAAAATGCAGGCACACCACACAGGAATTTATTCACCAAAAATCCATCCCAAAGGAGAAAAAAAGCCCTCTCTGGCTTAGGTTTTCAGAGCTTGGAATAGTTTCATTTACATAGGAGTTATTTAAAAAGCATGGGGGGGGGGATGTGAAATTGAAAATACTGCTGGTCCCAAACATTTCAGATAAGCAATGCCCAGCCCCTATCTCACAGCCTCACTTATTATTGTGAAGGCAATGAAATGCCATGTAAAACACTGCCTGAAACAGGGTGAGTGCTTAAAAGATAGCTCCGGTGCTAATCCCTTCTCCCTCCCCATATCCCCAGGCTAGGAAAGGCTGTTTCTGATCTTGTTCTGCTGATCTCGTGGGGGGGTGCGGGGGGGGGCTGTTTTTGTTTGGCTTTTGAAGTGAAGCCTTTTCTCTGTCACTTCTTCCAGACCATCTCCTCTTGCCTGTGTTTGAGTTCCCTGGGGATCAGTGGGCACCCAGTGTCTGTGGCACCCAGTGTCTGGGCAGCTGGCCCTTAGATGGGGAGAGGCCACTGACTCACTGCAGTAGCAGCAGGGTCCTGGCTCTCGCTGCAGCTGTGAGCCACTCCTGGACCAGGGACCAGAGAATCCAGGTGCCCTTGGGGGCTGGAGACTCCCTCTGAGAGCTGGGCGACTGCTCTAGGCTATTCTGTGATGCCTGCTGCTGTCTTCCTTGCACCTCCAAAACCCACTATGCTAACTTGGGCACTGGTGGTAATGCCCTGGACTCACGAAGGGCTTCCTGACTTTCTCATGGGCTTCACTACCTGGGCTTTCCTGAGCTGGCCACTCAAGTACTCACACTTGGTGGAGGAGTTTCCTCTTTCCCTATCCAGGAGGTGTCTGTCTGTCTGTCTGTCTCTCTCTCTCTCAGTGCACTGCCTTACCCCAGCCCTCTTCACACCCTTACTGTGCCTGCTTTTGCCCTCATCTCTCCCACCCTCTAGTCCCACTCTGCCCCCGCAGGTCTTGCTCAGTCACCCCTCAAGAACCTCCTCCGCCTCCTCTTCCCCTTCAGGAGAGCGCCTGTTCCAAACCAGACGACGACATCCTAGACATCCCGCTGGACGACCCCGGTGCCAACGCGGCCGCTGCCAAAATCCAGGCGAGTTTCCGAGGACACATGGCGAGGAAGAAGATAAAGAGCGGAGAGCGTGGCCGGAAGGGCCCTGGCACGGGAGGCCCAGGTGGAGCCGGGGGCGCCAGGGGAGGCACGGGCGGCGGCTCCAGTGGAGACTAGGCCAGGTGAGGCGGACAGGACGCGCGGACCGGGGACCTCTTTTTCCAGAGCTCCTCGGCAGGAGCAGGGGGAGCACAAGGACAGGCTGGGGACGAGGGGAGGAAGCTGGGGTGGAAGGCTGGAAATCGGGAGGAGGGGGTGGGAGGAGGATGTCGGTGCTGCCTTTCCGAGAGCTCACCTGTGTCTCCCTTCTCGTCCTCCCTTCTGGCCCTGGGATGGACCGAAGAACTGAGCATTTTCGAAGGTAATAAATAGGACCCGTAGCGGCGGGGTGGGAGCCCTGAGAGGGAGGGAGCCCTACCCCACCCTTCCCCGCCTTGCCCCTCCTCGCTAAAGAAATGCACCTGCACCTGGGTTTTCTAATGGAGAGGCCCGAGGCTGCGACGCGATACGCCTGAATCAGCCCAGAGATGCTTTCACACACGCTCACCCTCTCCATTTGACTGCGCAAGCTCGGCCGGGGGCTAGGAACACGGCCTAGGCGCGCACGCACCTGCCCCGGGGCTCATTTCGGCTGCGTGCTGGGTGACCGCAGGGTTCTGGGTGACCGCAGAAGTGGCATTCCTCGCCCCAGGAGGGGGAGAGGAAGTTCCAGAAGGGTGCCTCACACCTTCTCTGTTCTCAGTTCCCAACGAGACGATGCCGCGTCCCCTTCGCCGTGACGAGACTTCCCTGCCGCCTTGGTGATCCCCTCCTCCCACTCACCCGCCGGCTTCAGGAGCCCCTTTGCGTCCCAGAGACTCTTTCCCAGGCCGGCTCCGTCGCAGAGTCGCCAAGTCTGCGCCATTTTAGTTCACCTGTCCAATGTGGTCCTCTCCTCCCTACTCAAGTCTCAAACCCTGCGCTTCCCAAATTTCCTTGTTTTAGTGCTTCTCGCCCACCTCTCTCCCGCATCCAGCATGCAGCTCTGCCTCCGCGGCTTAGGGGTGCTTTCTGCGCGCGCACCGCGGAGGGTGCCCTAAGCGTTGCCCAAATACACTCACTTTCAAAAAAGGAAAAAAAAAAAAAAAGAACTGAAAAAAGAAAAGGTCCTTTCTTTCTGTGCGCAGTGAAGGGGGCGCCCTGTGTTTTTCTGCGGTTACTGCCCTCACCCCACCCCAAAAGTTGAGAAGTGGGCCCAGGAGGGAGAGGAAGAGGGTTCTTCTGATGGTTTCGGTTGCCCCGCGCAGTGACCCCGCACCAGCCTGTAAAGTCCCCTTCCCGTTCCCCAGCGCGCCCAGCGGAGAGCAGTCTCCCCAGCTTTCTTGCTTTTTATGCAAAGGCTGGCCGTGGGGGAGGCTCAGGAGCAGGAGTTTTCTGTGGCCCTGGCCCTGCCGGCCCCGCCCCTGCCAGACCTCTGGGGCTATGGCCGGAAGGTTTTTTAATCTCCCAGTGTGCATGTGACCATGCTGGGTTGGAATGTGAACAATAAAAAGGAATGTCCAACTGCTCACAGGATGCCAAAGGGGAGGGAGTTGGGGTGCACAAAAGCCACCGGAGTCTCATGTTGACTATATCTTGAGAGGCCGCTGTGTTGAAAACCCTGTTTAGAACCTCTCCAGCTTCCTGCCTGCAGGGTCCTCGAGCCCCTTCCTTCTTTCACTGATGATACTCTCTGGGCCCCCAGGAAGAAGTTGTCATTCCCACCTACAGAAGGAGACAATATGGTACCCAGACAGTTTATTGGTAATTCCCTCACTGCCCTCAGAGACTGGAGAGAAGTCAGACCGACATAGGGAGCCTGGACTTGGTGGTTGTCACAGTGCTGGCCGATGGCGACCTCTCCAGCAGCCCTGGACTCGCATCCGCCCTCAGAGAGGTTTGCTCCGAAATCCCAGGGGCCACGGCATCCTCCCTAAGGGTTGTGGGCAAATTCTTAGTGAGGCTGGGGCCGTCCTCGGGCTTAAGGGTTACTGTACAGAGACAGGTGCCACCGCCCTCTTCCCTGCCCCTCACCCCTACACACACAGAGTCCAGGAAGGCTCTGAAGCAGATCTGACTATGTGCCAGCCTCCTGGTGCTATCTGGGTGGCTCATCCGCAGACCATGTTTCGAGAAACACTTCTCTGATCCTTGTTTGGAACCTTGAGGCTATCAGCTGTAGTGGCTGGCACAGGCAACTTTCACTTCTCTTTCCTGGTTGCCCTGACACAGTTGCTAAGCTCAGGAAAACCCAGTGCTCACATTCATCTTCCGCCACTCCTTCCAAATGGTATGCATGAAAATGCCCATAAAATCACAAACCTCAGTCTTGCGTTTAGCATGAAGAGGACAGGCAAGTCCTCACGACTAAGCCATCCCTCCCCTGTTCGTGACTCCACCCTTCATGCTATAAGTCTTGCTCACTCATGTCACTCAGAGTCTGAGGGCTAGAAGCACCCACTTGTAACCAGAGCCCTTGCCTCTCTGCTCACCGGAGGTCATTGCCCCCATAGGTCTCCTTGGGCTTCCTCTTCCTGTCTTTGTGGAACCTGAGCAGGCAGAATACAGCCACTGACAGCAGCAGAATCCCCAGGAGCACCCCAACCAGAGTCCCGGCCACTCGACCTTTGGAGGGGTCTGTAAGGAGACACAGGACTCTTAGAGCAGCAAATCCTCCTTGGCGTGTAGCCTTCCTCCACCCGGCCTGCCTCCTGGCCTCTGCCCCACATAGTCCTTACTGGTCACATCAAGGGTCAGCTCGCAGGATGCACTGCCCATCTGGTTGGTGGCTACACAGCGATAGGTGCCCGAGGAGGTCATGGAGAGATTGGTGAGGATGAGCTGGCCAGACACCTCATCTGGAGGGAAGAAAAAGTGTTACAGCACTCATTCGACGCCTAGTGAGTGCCTCTAGGCGGCAAGGGACTGACTACCCTCTGTTTCTTGGTGGGGCAACTGGCTCAGAAAAAGGAAATCATTTATCTGAGGGAAATTCCAAAGCACCGCCAACAGCTGCCTTTTCAGGAAGGGGGGACAGCTTTTACAAACGAAGTGTCCAGAAACTGAAGATGGAGTTGAGGCAGGGCGGGGTGCTTACTGGCTCTTGTCTGGCTTACTGGCTCCCAATTAGGGAGGCAATGCTTGATGTCTAACACTGCATCCTGTGTGGTGGGTCTAAGCTGATCCAAATTCTTACCTTTGGAAGACAGCACAGGCCAGGGGGTGATGGGAAGGGATAGATGAAAGGCTTTGCTAGGGCCTGGGCTACAGGGAGAAAAGGGGAGAGAGGAGAGAGGAATTCACAAGAAGCAGCTGGAAAGCCAAGGCTCTTATTTGTAGGTGCTTCCTTTTAAAGAAACTGGCTAAGTGATTTCAGGCAGCCTTGTTCCTCTAGCTCAGTTTCCTCTCTAGGAAGTTCATAAGTGATTCATGAATGACCCTTCAGAAATCTAAAAGAAATCTGCTCCCCGCCACCACCAAGACAAGCAGGAAAAATCAGAATATCCCTGCTCATCATTCACTTGTCGGATGGTAGGAGAATGTTTAGCTTAAGAATGGGTACCCAGCCACAAATGACATAGGAAGACAGAACAGGAAGGGAGCAGAACAGGAAGCCAAGGAGAGGGCAGAGAAAGGTGCAGCCGCTTATCTCCCAGCCCTTGTCATAGGGCTGGTGATGTGGGGGTGGGGTTTGGAGATTAGATTGGCTCCAAGCTTGAAGAGTTCCCTCTTCCTGATGCTTCAAGCCCTTACCTTGAACCATGCTGCCAGGAGCAGGCGTCGGAGAAGATCCCAGGTGCACCCAGTTGTACACGGGCTTGGGAGCGCCCTCTGCAGAGCTGCACCCTAGTGCAGCAGAGCCTCCCACAACGATTTGCCCACTCTGGCTGCATACAGGCCTACTGGGGGGCACTGTAAAAGTCACAGTTTGTTAGCAGGTTTTGAACCCCGCCCCTGGCAAGTGCTGGATTTCCTGCTCCCATACCTCTTCCAAGCAGTGGCTCACTGTGGTTCAGACCCCACCGAATCCTCTGGCAGTGATCTCCACTATTGGACATGTTGACCATTAGAATGCTCTTCCTCATGCTGAGCCAAACTCTGTGCTCATTCAGTAAGCACCCATTGGTTCCGGTTCTGGTTGCTGCCCTCTGGGCCCATGGAAGGAGAATGAACCCCTCCTCCACACCACAGCCCTCCAGAAATTTGAATGGCACACTCATCCTGCACCTGCCTCCTGGTGGCTCCCCTCCCACAGGCCCCAGGGCAGGACAGGAAGGCAGCTCAGGACACAGGGTTGGTGCTCAGCGACAGGGCCCTGTTCCTTTAATGGCCACTCCCCTGTCACTGACCTTGGGAGGTTTCCAGGCCACTGGAGCTAGTGGGGACGTGACTCAGATCCACATACATGGGAAGACCTTTCTCTCAGATTCTTTGTTACTGGGCCCTGAGGCATGAGGCAGCCTGCTGCTGGAGGAAGACCCTCTGGACTAGAAGATGTGCGTGGGATCCCACACACACCCACCCAGTGCAGTTGTGTGCCTGGGGGTGATTGAGGAGGTATGTGGGTACTTGGTGGGCCCATGGTCAGCCTTACCCAACACAGTAAGGTTGATGAGCCCCAAACCGTTGGTGTAAAAGTCCGGTGGGTTGTTCACTTGGCAGAGGTAGGTTCCCGTGTCCGAGGAGCGGACATCGGCCAGCTTCAGGGTGGCCACCCCTCCCGTGGGGGGGTTCTGGAGCAGGCTGGCTCGCTCGGCCTTTGAGCCAGTGGGATACAGCTGGCCGCTAGTGTAGTAGAGGATCTGGGGAGAGACAGGCAAGTGTGTCCCCTCTCTCCTGCCAGGGGTCAACTCTGCAGTCCTCCCTCGTGAGGGTGAGGGCACGATGCCCCTCATTAACACCAGCCAGAACAGGGACATGTGAGGTGTCCATACAGCATCCAAGTCTCCCAGTGACAAATGAACTGGATTTGCTGCCTTCAGCCAAGCATGGCTGCCACTCTCCAACTCCGTCACTCTGATTGGGGGAAGCTAGCGCAGATCTTCCTGGTAGGGGCATTGTGTTCCCCTGCTGCAAACGCCTTAATATCCATGGGTTTAGTTACAGAAACCGGATGCACCAATAGGGGAGCTGGATAGAGAGCCAGGGCTGATAGGGCCACCCTGAGGACACCTGGGAGCAACCCACTTTACTTTCCAGCCAAGCATACTGAACCCCTGCCACTCGGAGCCCTCACAGCTCCTCCACCCTCAGCCCTCCACCCCGAGTAGCTGCTCTCTGCTTACCGGCCGGGAGGAAGAGATGGGCTTCCCTGGCTGCACGAAACTCCACTCCAGGGCGAAGTTGTCTCCCACTGACGTGCTGTAGCTGCAGGTGAGCTCGGCAGTGTGGCCCACCGGCGTGCTGAGAGGCTCCGTGGGCACCTTCACCTCCACCGCCAGCCCTGAGGCTGCGGAGGGCGTAGGGAGACCGAACCACAGCTCCAGTCAGGCGGGGGCTGGGGACTCCATGCCCCTCCTTTCAACCCAACCCCTCCTTCTACATGCTTCTAGGGGAGGAAGGTCAGGCCCATTGCCCAGCAGGTTTTTGTGGGTAAAAGGGCCTGGACTGTGCCGCGTATGAGGGCATGTTTGGCTGGAAGGCAGAACGTGAAATCCTGCGGTTGTGGATAAACCATGGCCCCGGCATGTAGTCGCCTGCAGGCCCACTGGCCTCTATCCCCTGTCCACCCAGCCCTCCAGGTCCCCTCCGCAGCTGTGCGGAACTGAGCAGCCCATGAGGAGGTGGGTTGATGGGTCAGCAGGCCGCTGGCTCCCGCCGGCCCTGGCTCCCGCCCCTGAGTCTGGCCCAGCCCCTCCTCACCACTCAGCCATGCGAAGCCGATCAGGGCCCCACAGAGGAAAGGCCCTGGGAGACAGGCCATGCCACACGTCCTCCTGCCACCTGTGGCTCCGTCTGGGTGCCTGGGTCTGGGGAAGGGAGTGCCCTGCACTGGCTAGGAGCGAGCTATCTCAGAGCAAACAAGGGGAGAGGCCGGCACCCTCACCCTCTGGTAGGGGAAACGCTCCTCCCTCCCGCAGGCCCAACTCTGGAGTCGCTCTTCCGTGCTTCCTGCTCCTTTCCCCTGCCCCCTGAAACTGCCAGGGAAAGGGCTAGGCTTGAGGGTGGGCACCTTCCAGGAACAGCTGTGGGACAAAAGTGTGACTGGAGGAGGAGGAAGAGGCCATCTGGCACCCTGAGAGCTGGTACCTTGCAGTGCCACCACATAAGCCTGAGCCCCAGGCGGCATAGCCCTCTGGCCCTTTCTTTCTCACCCCTTGCTAGGGTAGAGGAGTCCTGGGACACTTCAACCGTTTCCTTGTGTCCAAAGCCCATTCCTTCTCCAACTTAAGGGCTAAGAAACTGAGACCTAGCAAGGACCCCACTGTTAGGAAAGGACATGGTGACATTGGGACAGAAACCATACCCCATCCTCTACCCACGTCTCCCTTCATACTTTTAGTAAGTGGAGGTGCCCAGGGCCCGCATGGACAAGTTGTGTCTGTTAATGATTGTACAAAAGGGGTGTATGAATCAGGCTCCTACCCCTGTCCCTGATAGGAAACACTGAAAAGTCAGTGCACACCCCAGCCCTGAGCACCCAGGTCCAGCAGCCAGTGCACCTATTTCATGCTTCCCTGCTCACGGTAAGATGGGCTCTCAGCAGCTTTGGGGTCTCTGTGCCTTGCCCTCTCCCACTGACAGACAGCTGGGGAAGAACCAGCCCTGGGACTGTGTGCAGCGGCCCTCCCGGGTGGCTAGCACAGGGAGCGGCTCACTCTGTATCATCCTGAGGCTCAGTTCTGGGAAGTCCTGGGTTAAAAACACAAATCCATTCTTATTCCATGCGAACACAATGTATCTTTATTGAAATTTGCAGAATTAAAACAAAAACATACATTTCAAGTTAGTTTAAAAAATAGTTTCCCTAGCCCTTGCCCCCAACATAACCCAACCAAGCCAGCAGGATAGGTTATATGAATACAGGGAGTGGGAGCAAAGGATGGTGTTAGATAGGGATGGGGCACAGGTTGGGGGCCTGGGGGACTCCTGGACCAGCAGTCCCCTCCAGGACCCTGGCTAGGTTGCTCATCTGGGCAGCATTCAGCTGGCTTCATGGGGAGGGGTAGGGAGGGGTGAAAGAGGGTGAAGATGCCCCCCCAGATCACAGCTCCACTTCCTCTTCTGTGGCCTCCTAGACTTGGGTCTTATGGAAACCTGGCTTCCTTACAGTCAAGAGAGGTAGGGGTCAAGGACCCAAGGTCTGGAGTGTGGCTGCCCTTCCAAGACTCAGGCCTGTATGCACGGGTTGAACCCTGTAGGGCAGGGGAGACACCAACCAGCCAGTGGCTGGGCCATCACACCAGAGACCAAGCCTGACTCTGAGCAGGCACCATTACAGGCACAGCACCCATGCGGCTCAGGGTTGAGGAAGAAACCCCGCCAGGGCCAGTAGAGACAGGCTGAGAGGGCACCTCCTCTGTCCTGGGCAGTCTGGGTGAGGACAGGGCTTGGCTGGAGAGACTGGGCGTGGGGGTCATAGCACCAGCCCTGGAAGGGCTGTGAGGTGACCGGAGAGCTCGCGCCGAGGTGACAGACGAAAGGGTCTCATTCTTGGAGATGGTGTCTGAACCCTTGGGCCAGGTCAGGGTCCGTGGGGCAACAGCATCCTCCCTAGTCATCCAAGAAATGGGTAGTAAAAGCTCAAAGGCAAGAGGGGTGGGAGGAGGGGGTATACCCTGCACCACACCCCTGCAATCCCCCTTCTGCATCCTCCTCTCCCTTGAAATATGCCCACCCTTCCCCTGGATGAGAGCCTCCTGGGTCCAGGAGAACCCCTCTGCAGCAGAGACCGGGGACACTTACTTGATATCATTGGCTGGCTCCTCCAGTACCTTGCCCCGGCGTTGGTACAAGAGGAACAGCCCAGCCAACAGCACCAGTCCTAACAGCGTGCCTACCACAGCTCCAGCAACCACAGCAGCCCCAGAATCTGCAAGAGCCTTCGTGTCAGCAGACACCCAGCCATTGCCCATCCCTCCATCCCCTCCCGCAACGCCCCTCACTACCCGGTAATCCCATTACCATCACACATGTTCTCTTCCCACTAGGAAGAAGGGTAGCTGTGAAGCAGACAATGGCCACTGACTGACTTAAGTGTTTGTACAGATATTTGACCAGGCAAGCCCCTTGTCATCACACCGAGCAGGCCCCAGCAGACAGGCCTCTACTACCCCTTGTGCAACCCCAGCCCAGCAGGGCCCACTCTTCCCCGAGACCACACTTACCCCTCACTGACCTGTGCTCACTTCCAGCGTCACATTGCACTGGGCACTACCCACCATGTTGTGGGCTGTGCAGATGTAGACTCCAGACATGGCCAGGGAAAGGTTGCTGAGCTTCAGGGATCCACGGTTGGCATCTGTGGACACAATTTTAGCCTAAGTCCAGGGATCCTCTTTCTTGGAGGAGAAATCAAATCCTGCCCTTCCTCTGGAATGACTTCTTGGCCTCTCTAGGAGTCATGGTTGAAGGAGACAGTGGCCCGTGTGCTGGGCTCAGCTCCCAGCTGCAGACTGGCGGCTCAGTACCTCATGTGCTTGCACATCTCAGCCAAGGCTGTGGTCTGCAGTAAGGCTAGACAAGGATGTGCAGCATTTTGGAGAAGCAGTGAAATGAGAAAGAAAGAACACAAGACTAAGAAGTAGACAAGCGTAGATCATGGGACTTTAGCCAAGTTGCTTTTCACCCCTGGGTCTCCATTTCGTCGTCTACGAAAGAATGTCATATGGTAGGACTGACCTGATGGTGTTGAGAAGCTTCTACGGTCAGTCATTAATGTCTACTGGCTACTTGCTCTATACCAAAGCCAGCCCCATGCATGAACTTCGCAAAGTTTCACAGCAAACTTATAAAGTAACTACTTTTTTTTTTATTACTATTAATTGCATTTCACTTTGTGACACAGTTTCATAGGCTCTGGGATTCCCCCAACCCCTCCCCGGTACCCTCCCCCCATGGTAGATTCCTCCACCTTGTTGCAGTATTACAGTTCAAATCCAGTCAAGATTCTTTCATTGCAAGCATATACCAAGCATAGAGTCCAGCATCTTATTGTCCAGATAAATTCAATGGTTTCCTGGGGAGACTATCTCTGGTCTGAAGGCAGTGCTGGCAGAATATCATTCCAACCAATTAAAAGCCCCAACATAACATCAACAACAATTCACAACATTATGGAGTTAATTGACATGGTATTGAGTAACCAATATGTTAGAAAAGTTCTTAACCACATCCTGTGACTACTTCATTGACATTTCAATTTTAGTTTATATACAACTGGCTTTTATATACCTTAAAATGGCTTTAGGATACTATTCGGCTGTCTCATGTCTATTTTCATTTTAGTATTTAGCAGGTAATAGTGTTGAAGCATAAGTTTTGCTGAACTTGGCAGATTTTAGGATAGTCTAAACTGGTTAATAACTTTAACAAGGCATATGCCAACAGCTGAGGTGCACAACAGTTTTAGGAGGGGTGTGCAGAGAAATTCTCAATGCTTTAGTGTGGAGTAACTTATCTTTGTGTCCTATCTGGTAAGGTATATGTGAGTCCCCGCTGACCGTTGCCTGTCTGGTTCTAAGCTTTCCTTGTTGTTCTCTATCTGCCTACTCTAATTTTTTTTTGGGGGGGGGGGGCGGTGCTCCAGAGCGACTCTGATGGTCATTGCAGGAGAGGGTGGGGATTCAAAGTTGGAACTAAGTAAGGACCAGAGAAAGTTCCCCTCCTGAGTTCCAAAGAAAGTTTACTGTTCTTCTGTTTCTGAGGTCCACTCAGGACTCCCAGTTACTGTTCCACTGACATTAGATCCTGTGAGGAAGGATCTGGGCTTATTCCATCCCGTGTGGGAGATTCAATAGGGAGTGGATGACCTCAGAGTTCTTGGCCTACAAGGGCAGTCCAATTCCCCGTGGTCTCCTTGGCCATTGGGATATAGCCCTTGGTGCCCATACTGATAGTCCTTGGTGAGGATCCAGGAGTCTCCAGGATTGAAATACAAGCCTCCTCCTGTTCACCTGCTCTACTCTGGGGTCCCCCGCCTGCTCTGTGCATTTGACCTCCTGTTAAGAGGTTGTCAGGATCACTCTTGATTCCCCCTGTAGGTCTTTATGGTTTTGCTAATGTCTAGTGCTGATTTGAGTCTGTTATCTGTAAGAAGTAGCTACTGTTTTAAAAAAGGAAAAGGAGGGGTTGATACAGTGGCTTAACAGACTAATCCTTCGCCTGCAGCACCAGCATCCCATATGGGCACTGATTCTAGTCCTGGCTGCTCCACTTCTGATCCAGCTCCTCGCTTTATGGACTGGGAAGGCAGCAGAGGCTGGCACAAGTCCTTGGGACCATGCACCCAAGTGGAAGACCTAGAAGAAGCACCTGGCTGCTGGCTTTCGGATCAGTTCAGCTCTGGCCATTATGGTCATTTGGGGAATGAAGTAATGGATGAAAGATCTCTCTCTTTCTACAAATCTGCCTTTCAAATAAAAGTAAAAAAATCTTTTTTAAAGAAGGGAGCATGGGCATTTGGCTAGGGGGTTGGCACTCTTTCTGATACACCCACATGCCATGTCGGAGGGCAGAGTCCAGGTCATGGCTCTGCCCCCATTCCAGCTGCCTGCTAAGACACATCCAGGGAGGCAGCAGGTCCGAGCACCCCACAGGGCAGGTCTGAACTGAGTGCTCAGCTCAAGGGCAGTTGCCAGGTAGATGGGATCTCTCTCCTCTCTCAAATAAACATAAATTAGGAAAAAAGAGAAAGAAAGGAAAGGAAGGAAGGAAGGAAGGAAGGAAGGAAGGAAGGAAGAAAGGAAGGAAGAAAGGAAGGAA